GTGGGGGGGACAGCTCTGGTGTGCTGGGGTCGTCGAGAGAGTGGAGTAATAAGATTCTGGATAAAAGTCTACAATGTTGCCGTTAGCGAAATGTACAGATCAGAGCATTGGGGTTGGGAGGGGTAAATAAAAAAAATAAAAAAAAAAAAACACGTACAGATTGATGGGCCACAGTGCCAAGCGCAGAGGGGAGGCCAGGTTAGGTACAGGAAAGGATGGGGGGAGGGGGGGCACTACTTGCAGATGGACAAAGGGCCCCCCCAGGGAAGAGAGGTTACAGTCTTACCACCTTCCCCAGAGCCTGTCTAGGGAGGGGAGGGTTAACAAGGAATAAACAGGAACATATTAAATCATCACAAAAGACCACCATCATCATCATTATCTTCATCATCAAACAAAAAAAGATCAACACACACATCTCCACCTGCTGTGAGCAAAGGCCCACTGTCACTGCCCTCACACTCCGACATACAAAACTCCCCAGAAGGTGCCAGGATGTCCTCAAAACCCCAGGACACCCAGAAGGTGCTATTCTCCCCCCCACCCCACCCCACCCCAATGTGAAGAGGGTGACAAGCAGGCAAAGAGACAAACAAAACTGCGCCAACCTTACCCTCCCAAAGAGCACACTCGCCCTTTTCCTCTAATGTGACCTTTTAACAAGTCAGCACTTCAAAAATAAAACATGAATAATTAAAATAACAACAATGGAAAAGATAACCCCAGTAAACTGAAGGTGTGAAACAGGTCCTTCCCTCCTTCCTGAAACCCAGGAGACAGTGTGGGTGGGTTATACTCCCAGAAAAAAAGCCTCTATAATCCGGTTGGCTACTGGCTGCACGTTACCATGACAACCACCCACCACTACACCAACACAAAAACAGTCATTTCGACTGTTTCAACTCAGCAGACGATTAAAACGGCCAGCGCTGCGAGTAACTGTCAATCTATTACAATTGCACTTGAACAACAGAGGTTAGCTATATGTCATACTTTTTGCCTGGAATAATCATCTGAGGGTGTGCTGCCCTCTGCTGGCGGGAGGCTGGTAGTGGCTGTAATTGTTGAAGCCCCATTTCTGGCCATCGCTACAAACCATATTTGGTGAAGTGAGTTAGGGGCGAGAAGGGGAGGTCAATCTGAAGGGTTCAGGTATTTAGATTGGGCTTCTGCTTTTGTCTGACAACCCCTCCCCCACAGGTTACCATCCATAGCCAACCCAGACTTTACCAAAACCACCATTAGCCAGAGCTCCGCCCCCGCCTCAATCTCAGCACTTCAATCACATGCTGTATGGATGGTTATTCTTTTGTACGTGACCTTATTTTTGTTTCATAACATACTTGGCAATGCTACTCAATCTTGAATTAGTAGTAGTTTTAAGAACCTAACACTACAGTATTTACGGTATTAAAAACAAAAAAGAAAAAAATAAAACTAACAAACAATATATGAAAAACGATCTACGCAACTTTCCTAACCCCTCCCGAAAAAATAAGACCGAAAAACACCAGCCTTGTTTGCAATAATGTGCTTATAATGTGTGCTCAATCCGTCTTTCCCACCCCCCAACCCCCCAACCCCCCCACCCCATATCAGTAGCAGGCGTGGATCAAGCCATCATATGTCAGTGAAGAGGAGCTCACACAAAAACAAACACGTGAAACGTCTTACGGACACAATCCCTTCACTAATTCCCCATCTGGAAATTCGCAGCTTCACTGGAAATTCGCAGCACTAAACACAACACAACAAGACCTGGCAGTCTATTCAGACGAATGAGACCCCTCCCCCACCCCACCCAAACCCAAACAGTCATCTTTGGGGGGTCAGAGGCTGCAGCAGCCATCTTTCTTTTGGTCCCGATCACGTCCCTTCTGGGTTTGGAAACGTCAGAACTCCGCCTTCTCCTATTGGACGACGGTCAGCATCTGGTCTCGAACATACAGAACAGTCCCTTCAAAATCAGGAGCTAATCGATCCCTCAAACCCCAGCCCTCCCATTCACGAAGAGCCCCGCCCATAATCCCGTTCTCATCCCATTCATTAACAAGCCCTCCCCCATAATTAAAAAAAAAAATCAATCCGATCGATATGTACATCTGGGACGTTCATTCCTTTTCGACATACGTCTTGAAGCTGACTGCGGCGTGCACCATCGTCCACTCGTTTGACGGAAAAGGTGCAGAAGAAACAAACAGTCAGCGTCCCAGAGGAGGCCACACGCGAAAAAAACACAGTCTGTTCCGAAACGCGCATGTGCACGTACAGACACACACACACAAACACACACACACACACACACACACACACACACTACTTGCTTTAATTAGGTCAGAGAGAGAGACTGACATGAACAGAACCAATCAGCAGGCCCGAACGCCGCTCAAGGTTCTGTTCAGTCATGGCGTTACGGTCTGACGCCCGAATGCCCGCTGTCGTTCTGGTGTTTGTGTGGAGAATGTCTCCTCACTGAATCACAGACGACCACTCCCCCCAAAAAACACCTCCCCCATGTCTGTGCCGTCTCCAGCCACTTCTGGTGATGAGTCACACGCAAAACAAACACAAGCCCCGGATCCCAGCGTAAACACACCACCCAGCCGTAATCACGCCAACATGCGTCTCGCCTAAACCCCTCTGCCCGTCTCGGGCGCGCATAGACACGTCGGTGCAGGGCCCCGAGGGTCAGCACAAGTGGGGGGTGATTACAGGAGCCATCCTTCTCTCTGCCCACTGCCCCCCTCCCCCAACTTCCCAGGATCCATCTCCGTATTTAAGGCAATGCTGAAACGTTTCATAAATGTGCAAATTTCTCGCCACCACCAAAACAGTCTGGAAAGCCATGAAACTGGGAAGAACTCTTTCCACAGCACTCTCTGGGGGTGGGGGGGGGGGCACTTTGGGTTGACCAGCTTTGAGGGAGGGATGATGCTTACGAAGTTTTTTTTTTAAATATATATATATATATATATACACACACACACAAGAACTTTGTATATAATACACTACCAAAAATGTGCCCTTTGACTTTCTCCATGCCACCGCAGATCAGCCTCTCGCCTTTGGGTGGCAGTAACGAGCAGACTAGTGCTGACCCAGTAACTCATCACATGGGGCTGACAGACAGCTCCCTTCCTCGGACCGACCCTCCACTGGCCGTCCGCTCTTCCCTGATCATGTTCCAAACCGGCCCTCTCCAGTGTGACAAACCCAGAATATGAGAGACAGATTTCCCCAATCACGATGAAAACGGCTTGCTTTCAGTGGTCGCTCTTAAAAATCACGAACCTGAAGGCAGCGTTGACCAAGGATCAAAGGCTCTTTATGCAAATTTGGGCTTCTTCAGGGACAGTGCGATCTGGAAACACCAGCCTTCCAATTAAAAAGCTTTCCCCTGGTACCAGCTTCATCATCCTGGGAAAAGAATCTGATTGGAAGGGCTAGTCAGTCTGGCAGCAGGAGCTGACCAATGGGTTAGAAGCATGTTGGAGGTGTGACCAATAAGAAGGGCCTGACACATTTAACGAGACAGGCAGCTGAATGGACCAATGAGGAAACAAGGGTGTGGGGTGGGTGCGTTGTGCTCTGGGGGTTTCAGGGCTTCCCAGAATAGCACAATGAGGAGCAGAGCCATGGCTGCCCAATGAGGGCCGCAAATCCCTGGGCGAGAAGTCTGTAGCAATTTATGAGCCTCAATAAAAATGAAATGGAGAGACACCCTCCCAACAAAAAACAAAAACTCCCAAGTCAGAGAACAGTAAAGCAAGCTGCAGTCTCTCTCTCTCTCTCTCTCTCTCACATGCACGCACACAGAAACACCCAACATTATTAAAACCCAGACATAACAAAAATGGAATCATATTTGGATAAGATGCAAAAAGGAAAAAAAGAAAAATCATTCGCTTTAAACTTTTAACGGGAATTTTCTTCACAAATAAGTCAGTCTGAAACGCGAGATTTTAAAACAATCCCTCTCTAACCCTCTATACACATAAGACGCCTATGCGCATGGATAAATCCATTTAAAAGCGGGACAGCCATGCAGCACCTGCTCCTTCACAATCTTCAGTGACCAGTCCCTCTGTCCCGGGGTCCTTGGCATGTTAGACAAACAGAAAAAAGCAGAAAGACATGGAAAAAAAAAATATGGAAGAAAACGAAAGAGAAACGGTGAGGTTTTCTAGGACATAGGCGATGCCGAGGGTTCGGGGGAAGACGTGGGGGAGGGGCGGGGGGGGAGATTCCATCTGGGAGCCTCTTCTGATTTGGCAAGACATTAATCCACCTGTGTCACGGGGGGGTCGAATCTGTACCATCCAAATTTCTGATAAGTACATTCAAATTTGGGACAGTTTTAGCAGGTTGGCTAAGCTCCCTTCCGCCCCGCTGTGCCCCCCCCGGGAATGTTCTCTTAACGTGGGGGCGAGGCAATGATACGGGACTGCTGTCTGAAGGAGGTGGGGGGGGCGTTATTAACCACTCTAACAGTTAAACAGGGGGCTTATTCTCTCGTTCCCTCAGAAACCCCCTCTCCATATCCCCCCCCCCCCCACATCCCCATCCCTTGCCGTGAGACTCCACCCCACATCTACCCTCCTCCCCCCACCCCCAGGGGGCAGCAAAACCCAGTACGGGGAAATAAAACGAACTTTGGAGCCAGGACGTGGTTTGAGGTGCGGGTGGTGGATGGGAACTGGGGTCACTTACTAAAATAAAGTGCTCGCCCCACCGTCACCCCCCACCCCTGGCAGGCCCTCGGAGGCGCCCCCGTCACCCGGGGCCCCCGCGTCCAGGGCGGCCGTCTCGAAGGCATGCTCGGTGCCCAGCCCGTCGGCCTCCATCTTGACGCCGTCGGGCAGGAAGCCGGAGTAGGCGTCGCCCTCGGCCATCAGCAGCTTCAGCTTGGGGATCCAGCTCTTGCGGACGACGCGCCGGGCGTTGGTGCACATGTCGGCCGCGATGGCGTTCATCTCGCTCTCCTTGAAGCTCGGGGCAAAGTTCTGGCAGTAGACTGCGGCAGGACAAACACACCCATCAGCCACCCCTTCCTTCTCAGCCCAGGATGAAAAGGAGGTGTTCGGACTCACACTTGACGGCGTGTAGCACCCTGCTGTCCAGCGGCTTGCGGCTGGGGTCGTTGGTGGAGGAGCGGATGCCCGTCCCGCAGCTGTTGGCCAGAGTGTTCCTGCAGGGCGGGGAAGAGGAGCTCAGGGGTTCTGCAGTGGTTCAGACGCAACCTTCATGGGTTTTAATAGGTTAAGGGTTACTTTTGCCGCCCCCCCCCTTGTCATTTTTCACCATTATGGAATAGCATTTTAAAGGGGTCCGCAAAATCTACCGTCAGGAGCCGGCAAGGCAAAATCTACCCAGGGGAGCCCCTCCCAGAAGCCAAATTATATATCGCCCATTCTTTAGAGCTGGGCCAAATCACATCCTACCAAAAAATTTAAAATTATTAGATATCAACATACATGACATGAGATTTACATGGCTATTGGTCTGCTTCCACTTTTCTTAACTAATAAACTCGCTCTGTGCCAGAAAACACCCTCGTCCCAGACAAGAATTCACTCAACTAAAAAGTTATTAAACCTCTTCAGAATCTAAAACTAACAATACATACTGATAACATAAATATATCTTTAAGATATATGTTTTTATGAAAATGTCCATTTGAAGTTGCATCCCAGATTTTCGTCACCTACGTCAGATTTCTAGAAAAACATAATTTAAATCGGGGATAAAAAGGGTCAGCTGTATCCTAAAGACCCCGTCTGACTTCCTGGTTTCAAAAGAGCAGGGAATTCTGCTCGAGGGCTGAGAAACTCTATTTTTTATTAATTCATGGAATAACATTGAATCAGGTATGCCAACTCCGTAGCCCTGCAAATCAAAACTAAATTAAAATTATGGCTTAAAAATGCATATTTTGATTAGCAATAAGAGACCTCTTAGTAACGTAAAAAAATAAAATAGCTACTCACTAAGACTCCATAAGATAACAACTTCAGATATTTTAAAGGTTTTGATGTAATTCTGTTAAAATCTGAAACGACCAAAAATAGGAGATTCATGTTTGAAATGGCGTTTTATGTGCATCCAAGTTTTTTTAAGGTTTGTGTACCGTTTTGTGTTTTATATGATGCATCAGTCAGATGGATTTTGATTAAAAGTATGTTCAGAATGATTTTAAAAATGAGCATTTCAATAAAATTTTCTATTGGACACCTGCTGTGTTATTTGTGTCATAAACGTTTTGTATTACAATACTGTGAATTTTTGTGTGATTGACGGAGTTCACAAAATTCAAGCCCCCAGCTACCAAAAAATGCCGTTTAAGATAAAATGACATCACTGGGGGCTTGGCAGTTTTAAAGTTTAATAACCAGCACTTTGATGTTTTAAAATATGTTTTCCCAGCTTGGCGAAAGAGTAAAAATAAAAATACCCCCAAAATAAGATTTTAGGCGCGTGTGTCTGTGCGCGCCATCAGTCAAGCTCAGGGCGCCTCGGGTGACATAACACGCTTGGAATGTTATCACTGCACAGACAGACAGCCCGGGAGTCCAGCGGCATTCGCAGGGAACCCCCTCCCCAGACCTGCCTCGTGCTTCTTGTGCGTTTCTCTGACCCACGCGGTACGACTTTTAAAGACAGAAAACTGCACAGCTTATGACTCTACTTCGATGCTGGATAAAGGTCAGGTATTCAGAGGAGCCAACACCTCCCAAACCCAACGCCTTAACCACGGCCATCGTACAGGACGTGAGCGTTCATGCTTTCCGACACGTTTGGGTTCCGAGGGTCGCAGGATTGACCAGACTGGTAAGAAGCATTGACAGTTTACACGCCGTGGTTTAACCGGCTGCTGAGGCGAGCAAACATCCCGATGGGGGAAGGACCTTCAACCCCAAGAACATCAATAAACCATTAGTGCTACAATCAGCCGTTACATCACGCCTGATTTGACCCAGTTATGTTTTGGGCTCCCTGTATGGCGTCTCGCTATGGTCACAGGTGACATCAGACGCGGAGCATGACAAGGAGGCGGGACCGGGCATACAGAGGCGGGGCATGACAAGGAGGCGGGACCGGGCATACAGAGGCGGGGCATGACAAGGAGGCGGGACTGGACAAGACAGAGATGCTTACCGGTCAAAGAAGGAGGCCAGCAGCCTCCTCAGGAGCACTTTGTGTCTGGTCCCGGCACTTACGTGACAGTTCATCAGCTGGGCCCGAGTAATGAAGACGCTGGTGCCTACAGGGGCAGCCACCCCAAACACACACACACACACACACGCTTCAGTCACAAGGCGGTGACACCACAGCCAAAATACACACACTGTAGCACTGCGTGCAACTGAGGGAACAGAAATCCAGGCCTCGTTATAGAAATGAGTGTAATGGCTCATTAACCTGGTTAAAAGCCATCACGACGGGAGACAGCTGTGAGTCACCATCATGCCGTTCGGCGTGCGGGGAGCGGGGGGGAGGGCGGGGTCACTAACCTGTGACCAGCTCCAGCTTCTCGGCCGGGTCGCCCTCCTCGTACAGCTTGGCATGGCAGCGGTTGCCGATCTGGGTGATCAGCTCCGCAGGCAGGGAGGCGAGATCCTGCCGCACGCGCATCCGGTTCCTGGTGTCGGAGGTCAGGTGATCGGGCAGCGCGTCCACGCGGTCCCCGGCTGCCGGGCGACAGGCAGGCCGCATTGCGGATCAGCGCCGGCCCCTCCTCCACACCCCCAGCCTACCCAGCATGCTCTGGCAACCTCCATCCCAAAAACAGCACCATCAATCCAGGAAAGACACCTGCATTCCTGATCGGTGCAAATCTGGCCCCCTCTTCATTCGCCAACATCCCCCCACAATAAAGCACCCCACCCAAAGAAAGCCCCCCCCCTCACCTGCAGCCCCCACATTGAGCATGCTGTACATGGTGTACATGTTGCAGATCTGCCGGTACTGCTCCTCAGTGCCATCCTCCGCTGCCTCGTCCTCCTCCTCGTCGTCATGGTAGGAGTTCGGGGAGTCACTGGCATACGCGCTGAGAGTGCCAGGGCTGGTGCCCTCGGGGGTGGCACTGTTGTTATTGTTGTTGTTGCTGTTGCTAGGGCATCCAGCTCCACCCAGGGGAGGAGCCACTGCACCCCGGCCCACCTCCTGGGACAGACGGGCGGCCTTGCGCATCCCGCCCCCGCCTCCGGAGACTCCGCCCGCCTCCCGGTTGCCCCCCTCCCAGAGGCGCTTCGCCACCGGTGTGCAGACCACAGAGTAGGGTGAGGTGTCTTGTTGCTCCATCTTCACTCGGGACACCAAGGGCAGAGGGGTAAGGCAGGAGGCGGGGCGGCCGGCCCCCGTGGAGGCCACGCCTCCGTTGACTCCCCCAGCGGCGACCGCAGCGCCCCCCACGGAGGTCTGGGTGACCGGGCTCTGGGGTTCCGAGGGTGGCGCCTCCTCGGCCTGCAGGCCCTGGGAGTCGCAGGAGGGAGAGCTGACCTTCAGGAAGAACTCGGTGCCCTTCTCCATGATCTGCTGGATCTGCAGGAAGCCGGCGGTGTACATGAGCAGAAACTGGTCGCCCACGTTCATGCTGAGCCGGCCCGTGTAGCAGAAGGACAGGATCTGCTCGAAGCTCTGCGGCTGGACGGCCGACGGCAGCTCCACCACCGCGCTCTTGCTGCCCGTGTTGAAGAGGTCGCGGAAGTAGGAGCTGCTGGCGGCCAAGACGGCGCGGTGGGCCTTGAAGGCGTGGCCCTTCACCACCACCGACACGTCGCAGTAGAGCCCCTGCAGCCGCTGCTCGTTCAGGCACTCCAGGACGTTGTTGCCAAAGTTGGGGATGGCCATCTGCAGCGTCTGAGCCATGGTGCTACAGCCAGCACCACAGGTCTGCGTTCAGGACGAAGAGGAGGAGGAGGAGGAGGTGGTCAGCACATTTCTACATGCCCGTTATATGTGCGTGCAAACTCGTTTCTCATTTCCCGTTTACTTCATTTATAGCCATCACTCATGCATAACTAATATGGCATCACTGAACGAAAGTTTCTATAATTTTTTTAGGTGGAAAAAATGATGCCAGATGATGACAGTAAGGATTCTTTGAATCAGTCTAACTTTGAACATACACATATACACCAGCAGGACCCATAACCCAAACCATACGATAATACTGCCAACCACCACTAATATTTACTTATTTTCATCAGACACCATGAATTACAATATGAACAAAAGACACGCCTGCGAGGGACGGCTGGCAAAGACTGATGTGATTTCGCTGGACGGCGCGCTTCACTCCGACATCATTAATTCCTGATTTTCATACGTGAGACAAAAATATCACGAGTAACCCTGTGTAACTCCAACATATGCGTTTGAAGCCGATTACAGGAAAACCTATTCTCCAGAGATCTGAAATGTCAGCGAACACAACATCCGATATGATTAACAAGATTAGAGCCTTGAGCATTTAAACAAATTGGATTTTTTTTCGTATTTGTCAGCCCCCTACCCCCAACCAAACACACACAATATTTATATAGAAATATTTTTAGGACTAAAACCCGTGATTAACTGGCTTTACGGGTATCTTTAATTTACCAAAGCGATATCGTCCCACTTGTGTAATTCAAGCAAAACTAAATTATCATAAATATTAAACAATATAAATTATTAATTTCACAAGCGCCAGACCCACCGAAAATGTCATTATGGTCGCTAAGGGGATATTTGCGGCAAGAGCATATTAATTAAGGTAAAAAGTGCTCTAACGGTTTCAGATCAATGCGACGTGAGCAATAAGCCAAATTCTCCATTATAATGTTTATAATTTACAAAACACACCATAAGCACCCATTCCGGGACAAAGGGCCACATGGCCAACAGATCAGACTAAAAACTCAAACCAGCTTGACTGGACCGGGTCTAAGGGGGCCGCTACCTTGACGGCAAAGGTGCTGCTTGCCCCCCGCCGCCATGCCATGAAATACACTGTCCAAAAAAAAAAAACACCCCCCCCAAAAAAAGATACAAGTCATTACGTATCTCTGACATACACCACAATTAATTATAGGCTACTGCAGCGCTATAGACCAAATTATATATAAAATATATTACTGTAATTGATTTAATTTTTAGTATTCAATAGATTAAAAAATAAAATTGGTGTTTTAAATGTCAGACGAAACTGTTTTACTGATTTCGCCAATATGAGCCAATAACTTTGCTTACATCAACTCTTTCCATTCACTGACGATTAATTCAGACGTTTCACTTTTTGTGCAGGTTTTAAATACAGGCCTACACAGAAAAATCCCCACTTTTCCTGCCCAGCACCGAAATCAGCCGAGCTGCTACCCAGCAGCGGAGCGCAGGTTGGGCATTAGCCGGCTTAGCCGCTTAGCTAACGCGGTGCTGGCCGAGCCCGTCCCGGAACGCGCCTCATAAAATATAAATAACCGGGCGAGCGGCGATTAAACATCAGCGACAAACCTCGCGAAATGCACCTTTAATCCTATTGCCTTTGCCGTAGATTCCCCTTATTTGCAGCGGTGGTTTTAAGCAGCGAGCCAGCCGTGCCCCGCTCCGTGCCAGCGTCTCTGCCCGGCCGGACCGGGGTGCTCAGCTGGCATGGGCCGGGATAGATGGATGGGGGGTGTGGGGGGGGGGGTTAGTAGCGCTCACCATGAAAAGAAATACACTCGCATACGATTTTCGTAGACCGATCCCCGCCACTACTCGCAAGAGATTGTGTTATCCATAAATATATAATACACGCCAGGGAATAAATAAATAATTGGGGAGCGCACATGCACCGCCGTCGCCCCGTCCGTGCCAATGCGCCGTCGGCTTGAGTTACATCATCGGGCCTACAGACATGGGGTACTCTAACTGTACTCCGATGTTTGGGGTCGCCTGACCGCATCTCGCCTGGAGAAGCCGAAATCTGAGAAACCCTAATACCCCCCCCCCCCCCAAAAAAAAAAAACCCACCGGGACTTTCTTATAAGCTGACTACTGGCTTTTTTCCAGGGTCTTTGCGAATTCGATTACACTGTACCAAATGCATCCTTATAAAGGGAGACTTTAAAGGGGTGGGGGGAGAACCCCCCCATAACACTCCATATTTCCCGACATCAACAGGTCATCCCAGGACAAATGCAGCACCCGGGGGCAATCCAGACTAAACCAGCGCCGAGAGGTGAGGTGGGAAGGCAGCCGCCAGACAAGACACCGATTTAACTACTTGTCGCCGGCACGGATCGTGTCAGTCAAGTATTTAAAAAATGTTTCGGCTTCTGTTACAGTTAATGAAGCCGCGCGTATGAAAAGTGCCGTTTGCATCATGCATTTTTGACGAGTTGCAAAATGAGCAGCGGAGTTGGAAACGAGCCGGAGGAAACGGAGCGCCGAAGCCAATGAAGTGGTTAAAGTTTTGTTGGTGCCGTGCCTAGGAGCCCATCCCCCTCCATCGCACACCTTCCCAAAAAAAAAACAATAACGCCAAAAATCCACTTCGATCAGACCCCATCCTCCCCAAAAAAAGCCGGGCCGCCGAAGACACGGCCGGGCCGCCCTAACGCCTTTCAACCACCCCCCGTTAAGCCCGGTTCCCAAACTCACCCCCTCGCTGTATGCCGCTGGAAAGTGTTTCAATGGAGGAGTCCGACGCTTTCTCTCCCTCTCTCTCGCTACAGGCAGCCATTCATTGTGAGCATAGGCGAGACGCCGAACGCAGAGTCATCGAGGGCAAACACTTTCCCTGGGGCGGTAGATGAGGGGGACTGCCGAGCGCAGAGCCACCGATCGCCGAGACAGGCGCGACTCCTCCGCGGTGCGCAGACCCCAGGAGTCGGGGACCCTCGGCGGGCTTCGCCTCTTCCTCAGCGGGGTAGCCGATGTGTGCGCAGCAGCGGCAGACGTCGCTCTGTTGCTTTTGTCCGTGTATAAGCTACAGACAAACGCATTGCCGTAGCCGGATAGTGGGGCTCTATCAATGCGTCTAGACTCGCAGGTGAGCCTCTAGGGGGTCTGCGCTGTATGCGCACGGAATGCAAAGCAGACGCCGTTTGAAGACCTCGGGACGTCTTAAAACGAGACACAGAATAAGGGCGAAAATGATTTTACGTCAAATTATGAGCAAGGCGTGCTTGAACGGTAGCAGATCTGCTGTTAAATTAATGCAAATATCAATTGTTTTGTGATTATTATAATGACTATTTTATATTGTTTACTGGCGTAGTATACATGTAAATATTAATATAACATTACAAAAGGTGTTATTTGATTTGAAATGACAAACAATACATTCGTAATATAAGTATATAACTACATACTGTATATATAATATTTCTTGTTTTTTATGTCGTTAAATAAAAATATTCAACCACCAACGACGAAAGGAGGAAATTTCTTGATTGTAAATTGTAATGTTAATTTAAAGCACAGCTTATCGAGGCCCAGTTAAATATGCATACGAACGAAACATGTCCCAGGATTGTCTACACTACAGCAATGCTAGTTTTAAATATTAAATGTAAAAACACAAGCCATAAAAAGATTAATCTTTAATTTTTGGCCTTTATTGGGAATCTATTTACATTCGGTGACTACACATATAAGGATATACAACATAAAAAATACATATACATATTTTTTACAGGGTTGTGACATTCGTTTCTTTGAAAATGAAAGTTTGCACCCCATCTTCTGCCAACCTTGAAATCACATGTTTGGAAAGTGCTTTTCTGTTATTTTTGTGAATGAAAAGTGGCACTTTCCGGCTGCCGTAGTTTCCGCTTCAGCATGTCTGCATCCATGTGACTAGTATTTAACTTTTGTAGAGTGGTTGGGTGCAGGGTGGGAGTCTGCACGCTTTAGGGGTACTGATCCTCATACTAAACGTGACTTGGTGTGTGAAGACTCCGGAAATTATTAGGTGGAACAGAAGCCACATCGGTAAATTGCTTTTTATGATGTGTTAAGCGTCCTGCTTCAAGCTGCTGACTGGAATGCGACCAGTGTGTTGTAGTAGGTGCCAAACGCTCTGTCATGTTTTACAGTTGCTGATTATGCGGCTCAGTTGCTATGTTAATCTGAAATCAAGCTGTTATATATGTGATAAAACATAAGAGATCGTTAATGTATTATTTACACGCCAAGGACTCATCTATCGGTGCATCTTTTTCTTAATAAATTAGGGAAAGGGAACTTTACCAAATTATTCATCAGTATTATTTTTATTTGTTCCTTTACTATCTTATGTAAAAGTACTTATTCATCCTGCATTCTCATTGCCCCTTTTTTGCCCCACACGTGTTTATGCTTGTGGGTTAGATTTGGAGAGCTCTACGTCAGCCGATGCTGGTTTGCGCAGCACGTTTGCTCCATTTTTCTGCCCTGCGAGTGTCGAGTTTGCGGGACCCTCTCCGACGGACAGTGAGAGACACGGTACAGCGAGGCCTGAGAACCATGGACCCCAGTGCCGTTTCCGAAGGTTCCATGGGCACCGCGGATTCTGAGCTGGACCCTAATCTTGCAACAAGCACCACGCCCGCAGGAATCCTGCCAGAGGGGGATGCCAACGGCCCCGTTGACTCGGTGGAGGGAACCGATCAAGACACTAATACTGCGCTCTTGCCTGGGGAAACGGTAGTAAGAGAGGGCAGAGCAGCAATCTTGTTTCCAAACGCCAATGAAGTTTTCTACAACCCAGTTCAGGAATTCAACAGAGATCTGACGTGAGTTTAAATACCAAATGCACTGTTGATGAATCATTAAGCTGCTTCGGGATTAAGGGAGTTTTTTTGTGTTTTTGTAATGGTGCTAGTATTCCAAACCTTTTAGTTTTGTCACAACAAAGTAATTTATGCATGAGGGAGTATGAACATGGTGATACACACAATTGCTTCTTCACATGCTGAGGATAAACCTGCAGCCTCTCTCCGCTTGTCCCCAGCTGTGCTGTGATCACCGAGTTTGCGAGGGAGCAGCTCTCCCTGAAGGGGGTTAAGGTGGCGGTGCCTGGAGAGCAGGAGCGGGTGGTGGTCTGTCTGGCGGAGGAGCCGGCACAGGAGCAAGTGGAGGAGCGGGTGAAGGAGGTCCAGATCGCAAACGTGGGGGAACGCTGTGAGGTGCGAGGGGATTTAGATTTTCTTCCTGTACTCACAAAATATGTTTGTGGATATGTGACCAGAAGTCCTATTTCTGCAGTAAGAGCGGAAGTATCAGAAATGAAGACTCGATAGATATAAAACTTAATTGATCGCTCTGGTATAGGGAAATGTTTGTCCAGCACCATAACAAAAATAAATCTGGCTAATAATTCCATCATGAAGCCCATGCCTCACTATAATAAATGAAAACGGCTAGAAAAAGAAGAGAAGTATCAAGGAAATAGTGGAGAGAAATACATAGCTGCTGGAGATGGGCATCAGCCATAGACCTGAAATATCCATCCATCCATCCATCCATCCATGCTTAATGAGTGCTTACCCAGAACAGGGTGACAGTGAAGCTCAGGACCCTGGGCAGGGGACACCCAGGACACCACCCAGGCCACAGAGAGAGCAGTTTATCCTGTTACTGTGGGAAGAAACCAGGGTGCCCAGAACAGTGTTTCCCAACCCGGTCCCCAGGGACCTTCAGACAGTCCACATGTCTTGGAGTTTGGGAACAAAACATGTGCCTGAGGGTCCCCAAGCACTGAGTTGAGAAACACTGGCGTAGAGGAACCCCACAAAAGCACAGGGGCAGCATGCAAACTCCACACACACATATGGGCCTGAGTGTGTCATTGGGCTCTGCCTCCTGCAGGGGGGGCTCCGGGTCCTGGAGGGTCTGGCCGCGTCGGGCCTTCGCTCGGTCCGCTTCGCCCTGGAGGTCCCGGGTCTGCGCAGCGTGACGGCCAACGACTGCTCTGCCCGCGCCGCCGTGCTCATCGGCCGCAACGCCAAGCACAACGGCGTCTCGCACCTGATGCAGGCCAGCCAGAGGGATGCCAGGTGGGGGAGCTGTTAACCATGACACACTTTGAGCCTGAGTTTAGGTTCAGGATTCTCCTGTGATACCTTGAGCTGAGCATCTTGGTATGTTGAACTAAAAGTAGTATAGCATGTCACTCTTATTAATAACTGCGGTGTTATTAAGGTGTGTTAGCGCGGTTTGATGCAGCGTCGCAGGGCTCAAGCAGATGGCTGATCGTTCTCCGTGGATTTGGTCTTGGTTTCTTCGGTTTGTCTGGCGTCTGCTGTCTGACTTGAAGCGCCTTGCTTGTTGTGTCTTCGTGAGTGATTCTAAAAGACCTTCCCTGGGACTCGTCCTTGCTGGGTCTCTTTAGACGCAGAATCGGTTCAGATTGGAGCTCAGCCTTTACCTGCATGCTAGTGTGCCTGCAGTTGTATTGTAGATGGACGCGCGCTGATATACCATAGCTGTACTCCAGGTTTACACCCCACCTTCTCACTCGCTTTCCCTCCCTGGCAGCATGCTGATGTATGAGGCGCGTGGCAGGAAGGATCGCTATGATGTCATCGACCTGGATCCCTACGGCAGCCCTGCCCCCTTTGTGGACGGCGCCGTGCAGGCTGTCAGTGAGGGAGGTTCGTTCATAGCTCCTCCGTCCCCACATTCCTGATTCCGGCATTTAGTGATACAAGGGGCGGGGCGACAGTGACACTAGCCCTAGCTGAAAGCTGATTGGCCCCCGGGGTGTCCTTCCCCCTGTCATTCAGGTTCAAGACATATTATTGGCTAATAATAAGGTCGGCCCCTCTGTATGAATTATGGCCCCTCTTATGCCCCCTCTTAAAATCCTAGAATCTCTCCTGACATCATGGCTTTGAGAAACGTGTCATGTTGACAACATGGCCGTCTGTTGACAGCGATGCATGTGTTAATGCGCTTCTGGGACAGGGCTGCTGTGTGTGACGTGCACCGACATGGCCGTCATGGCGGGAAACTGCGGTGAGACGTGCTACAACAAGTATGGCTCCGTGTCCATCAAGGCCAAGTACTGCCACGAGATGGTGAGCACATGCATTTGTGTGGACCCCTATGGTCTGGGGCTCCCCTGTTGGCCACAAGTAGTCATTACACTTAGGAAACGGGGCCAGAGGTGGGGGGTGACAGAAAGGGCCAACCTGTCCCTAAGAAGGCCCCTCTGTGCCCTGTGTTTGTTGTCTGTCTGTGTCTGTCTGTCCAGTGAGACACTAATGTCTTTGTGTATCCACATCACACAATCCCTTGCCTGAATTTTTTTATTTTTTTGTGGGTATGGGGTGGAATATTCAGCCTTTAATGTCTCAGATTGTGTCTGCGTGTGAGATCCTCCCTATCTAACATGCAGGCGTTACCCTTCCACAGGCCCTACGTATCATCCTGCACAGCCTGGACCAGCGTGCCGGCGTTTACCAGCGTTACATCGAGCCCTTGCTCTCCATTAGCGTCGACTTCTACATCCGGGTCTTCGTCCGTGTCTTCACCGGCCAAGCCAAGGCCAAGAACTCTGCCAGGTAGCTGGGTGTGGCGTCGCAGTGGGCGATGGCGCCCCCTATATGTGTTGGTGGTTGCCAGCGGCTTAGTTAGCGGTCCCCTGCATATCCGGCTGGCTTTTTGTGCTGGTTTTTTTTAGGGTGATTATGCAGGTTTCTCCCAAAAAGGAAATGATAGTCTTTTTATAAACTGCAAAACCTTGACTTGACCTGATTTCAATTTTTTTTTTTGTATTTTACCGACTCAGTTGAGTTCTTGGAAACTGTGCTGAGCTGTTGTTTTTTTTTACCATGATATTTAAGACAAACTGGATCTGACTGGCTGCTGCAGACTCACACGCCAACACTCTGATCTCTCCCCCCCAGTAAACAGGCGCTGGTGTATAACTGTGTTGGCTGTGGCTCCTTCAACCTGCAGCGGATGGGCAAGCGCATCAGCCAAGGAAAAAAGTATGAAGCATAAATCTACATATTTTTAAATACCACCCCCCCCCCACGCATTTCTCTGCCTCTCTGCTTGCAATCCAGGATTCCTACATCCCAACTCCACACCATCTTTTCCCCAGGATTCCTGTAATGTCTGTTGGCCTCCACTAGGGGCGCCTTCAGGATCTGAATGTGTTGTTCTGGGGTAGCTGTCATTGTCTGCTGGGTCTGTTTCAGCATGAAGTACACTGCGGCAACTGGACCCCCGGTCGGACCTAGCTGTGAGCACTGTGGCCAAAGGCATCAGGTAGGACGCTGATGAAGTGAGATCTTTCAGGGAGACACCTTGAGTTCCACCCTTAAGGACTAGCTTTTGCAAGCTTTGGTTGACTCTGTGCGTCATGTAATCCTGAAGTCTGTTCAGTTGGGTCTTGATTTGCTATTAATTTTCAAGTTGGTTTATTGCAGGTGACCTGTCTGGTAATTGTCACAGCTGGCCGAAGTGCTTTAATGTAATCGTGAGTCTCTCCTGCCTCTCTGTCGCCCCCTGCAGCTGGGAGGTCCTATCTGGGCGGAGCCTATCCACAATGTCCAGTTTGTACAGAAAGTTCTGTCTGCCGTTTCGGGCAACCCCTCCCGCTTTGGGACGTCGCGGCGGATCGAGGGCATGCTGAGCATGGTCACTGAGGTATAGGGTCTCGCTGTCTGGGGGTGCTGCGGTGCACAGTGTTTTTAGTCAGGTGTAGTCAATTTGCCCCCCCCCCCCTGCTTTTGTCAGGAGTTGGAGGATGTACCCCTGTACTACACCCTGGATAATTTGAGCAGCACGGTGCACTGCAACACGCCATCACTGCTGCAGTTCAGGTAGGGCTGTGCTCAGCATCGCATTTACCTGCCTGTGGGAAGGATGTGTGACATGCTCTTTTCCGGTTGTTTCCGGAGTTGTGCAGCAGAGGGCAGCACTGGTCACATCTTGGTGCATTACATCTATTACACTATGAGGCCCTCAATACCGTATGTCTTGTGTGAGGATTTGCCATCTCCTGGCAACCACCACCATGCAAGCTCACAGATTACATCACAACCAAACATACTGAAAATAAGCCCCTCCCCCTTCTCTGAATGGCTCCTCCCTCCTGTGTGGCTGGCCCCGCCCTCCAGTGAAGCCCTGTGTCCCCACCTCTTGTGCTCAGGTCTGCCCTCCTCCACGCCGGCCACAGAGTCTCCCTCTCTCATGCTTGCAAGAACGCCCTGAAGACGGACGCCCCCGGTGGCGTGATCTGGGATATCATGCGCTGCTGGGTAAGCATGCGCCCCCTGCAGGAGGGGACCTGGGTGAATGCTGTGACCGTGTCTCGACCTTGCATGTCCTGCCTTCCCTAGGAGAAGAAGCACCCCGTGAAGAGGGAGAAGCTGTCGGAGACCAGCCCCGCCTTTCGTATTCTGTCCACGGAACCCTCGTGAGTGTGGAACCCGGTAACCCGGGCAACCTGAATCACCACAGCTAAGCTGACAGTTTTGTATCAATCATTGTTGTGATCAATGAGTAAGTGCGACCATATAAATGCACACAAACTTCTAATTTCATTTTGGTAGCTGAAATTCCATGTCCCCACCCCCACAGTGTACAGGCATGCTTCGACGTGCGTGATGATGCCAATCCCCAGTCGCGACGGCGGCAGCTGGTACGTTTCCAGGAGAACCCGCATGCCAACTGGGGGCCCAAGGCCCGCGCCAAGGCCGGGGGCGGGAACAGCGAGCTGGAGGACCGGCGGAAGCAGCAGCAGAACAAGAGGAAGAAACCGGACAGGGATGCGGCACAACTGAAGAGCTTCCCTTGCAAGAGGTTCAGAAAGGTGCAGTCAGAAGGGGGCGCCGTGGAAGTTTTACTTGCACAAAACTGTTCTGAGGGTAGAATGAAATGTGACTGGTTCAGAGAGATAACCAATCAGATTGTAGAATAGGTGGGTCCCACCGACTAAAGCAGGGGGAACACGCAAGCTCCACACACGCCCAGCAGGGTTGAAACGCTAACCCCAGTTGTATGAGACAACAGTGTACCCTTTAAGCTGCACCCTCAGATTGCATCCCATCGCTGATGCAGTTGCTGTAGCCCCCCCGCTAACCTGCTGGATAAAGTACTGAGGGCTTCAGAATTATCAGCCCAGCTGGCTGTGGTCTGTTACCCCAGCTGACCTCGCCGTCCTGCCCTTCGTCTCCTCCATCCCCAGGGCACGTGTCCCCGGGGCGACGAGTGCTGCTACTCCCACGAACCGGAGGAGGCAGAGAAGGATGGGGAAAAGATGGAGTGAAGTACCGCATCCCCCCCCCTCCCCCTCCCGTGTGGCCGGATCCTCATCATCCTGTCCCGGTGTCGAATCGTATGACATTGTCCCAAGGCGCGGAAGGCCCAAAATAGAAGCAGTATGTCTATTTTTATTTTTTATTTTATTTTAAGATTTATTTGCCCATTCTCGTTAGTATTTATAAGAAAAATGTAGATTTTATTCGTTGATTTCCTAAAGTGAATTCATGAATGAGATGGGAGACCCAGATGAGGGTGGGCACCAGAATTGATGATCTTGAGGGTGATGGATGTGCTTTTCGTAGTGGGTTGTTTTTGTGTTGGGGGACCGTTATGACCATGAAATTAGGGCTTCCTTGAAACATTCAGTTTCAACTGTGTTACTTTTGTCAGGAATAGCATTTTATTCTGGTTGTACATACTGTATATTAGGTTGATTCAAGGCCAATAAAATCCAGAATGTCTCCCTGATTGGTCACTGCGTGATTCTTGTCCCGTAGTCATTGGCTACTGCCCTGTCACTCGCATGCCTTTTGTCTGCAGCTCCAGATTGGATAGCATGACTTCACCTTTGAGCGGGGACGGAAAATCAATGTTTCTGGTTTGGATCCCAAGGGATAATCCTTCTGTTGTACCCTTGCACAAGGTTCTTGAATATATTTTGTCGGAGTTAAGCTGCTTATGATAAAAGCTGTTTAGTAACAAAAACATACTATACACTCTAGCAGGCAAAACAATTACTGCAATGACTGTAGGTCGTACTTTTAGAGGTTTTACAGTCTTGCAATAAACAGCATGCCCTGATTAATGTGTAAGTGGGTGTAGAAAATGCATAGAAAAACTAAAATGCGAATGACGTGACCCCGCATTGACAGAATGTGCTGAATGGCCTGATGTCTGTGCTGGATGTGTGAGGCTGCAAGTTGGATTTATGTGGGTGAATGTTTGTGTATTTTTACCTCCCACTGCTGGAGACTCTGAGGCCTGGGTGATTTTTTTTGTGTTGAGAGAATTTGCTTGGGTGCCTATTTGGGGAAGATGTACAATTGTGTGTTGGGGGGGGGGGGGGGACTTCAGTCCCGATGACTCTATGATGGCCAGATCACCAGCCTATTGGAGGAAACCCCCCTGTGTCTTACAGTCAGTGGCCAGTCAGCTCCTCCCTATCCCCTTGTAAACATTTATAGTCTGGCACTCGGAAGTACTGCGGTATTTGTATCTAGGGCCTGCTGCATTTTAAAAAATTACCTTCAGCAGACATTCTTGCCAAATGATGTACAAGTGAGGAAGGCTTGGGGCTGGAAAGCAGAGTGGACCAGCACTGGAGCAGCTTGTGTCAAGATCTCAGCAGTGATCTGATTACTCTGCTGACCATGGGACTCAAACTGACAACCACGGCACAGGCAGAGATCGCTCACCCACTGAGTCGCACATACTGCCAGATTAAAAACGAACTCACAGCTGTCCACTTGGAGCAGGGATGTCCAATTCCAGACCAGAATCCAACACAGTTTGCAGATTTTCCTGCTGAAAGACATCTTAATCAGCTAATTACCAGGTTTGGTAGATGTGCCCGATCTGGGAAAACTGCAAACTGTAGGATTCTGGCCCCCCAGGAGTCCTGATTGGACACTGCACATGGGTGATGTTTTCAGGAGAGTGGAGGTTTCTTAGGGGGCTTTTCCACTGCACCAGTCACCATAATAATTTCTCTATTCCATTGACTTCCAGTTGAGTACCAGTACCTAAAGTAAAGGGTTGCCAACTCTGGTCAAGCAGCTGTCCTGAGATTTTCAATTAGAGACAAGTCTGTACTGGTATTCACACATATGTAATAGTTTTATTACCTTTTAGTCTGCAGGGTGTGCAAACTACCCCAACGCTTCTAATGTAGCTAATTTTAGGTTTATAATGGAATATAGATTTGCTGTAAGATTTCTTGTGTGAGCGTGAAAGTTCATACAAAAGCAGCAGCGCTATACCTTAAACAGATTTTTTTAAACATATGCAGAGGTACCTCAGTTCTCGAACTTAATCCGTTCCGGACTCCAGATCGAATCCTAAAAAGTTTGAGTTCTGATCGAATTTTTCCCATAAGAAATAATGGAAAACCAATTAATTGGTTCCCGGTCCCCCAAAATGACACCTAAATATGTTTTTTTTTTTTTTTTAGCATTTAAACAAAAAATGAACAGGATAAAACAAGAGCATTTTTCTCTTAATGGCTGCCAAAACGATAAAGATCTTATCCCAACATTACCCCTGTCCTGCCCCGATCGTCCGCTCCTTCCGTGTGCCACGCCCCCTCGTTAACCTCGTGTGTGATCCCCATGTGATCAGCTGTTTCTGGTTGTTGTCATTAGTCCTCTGTATTAAGTCCGCGTTTCAGTTTGTTTCCCCAGTCCGGTCATTTGGTGCGTTCGACTTGTTTACAGCGATGGATTGCGCTGGATTAAAGCAACGCATTCTGATCCTGACGCAATGCATTACGGTTAGATGCATTGCGATCTCTCACCCGGCTGCACAAACTGGAACCGCCTCCGTGATGACACACCTTTGCCCTTATTGGCTGAAGAGTTTAGTTACACGCATGACGTTTGTATCCCAGGCAGTTCCGATGCGTAATCTGCTATTTCTCCCGAATATCACGTAAAGCAGTGAGAACTGGTTTTCAGTTAATTTACCTTGTAAAATAAAGTTTAAATAAATGACATAAATGCTCTAATAGTACCCGTAAATTAGTGGTTTATTTGTTAGTTACTGTAATGTTGCACTGCTTTATTTGGTTAATCATCCAGTCTGTGAATAATGCATTCAAGTAAGAATTGCATTGTAATATGACTTATTTCCTGGCGCGTACAATTTATATTAGGTCAGCGTTCACGGTTCGACTTCTGATATTCAGATCGAGTTCTAGTTCAAACTGGTTCGTTCGACTTTCAAGAAATTCGAGTTTTAGTGAGTTCGAGAACTGAAGTACCACTGTACTAGATAATCTTGAAAATGACCAATCATTTGAATTGCAAATGCTTGATAAGTTTTGTTTCTTAGGACAAAGTAAAAATGTTTTAGTGAAACTTAAACCCCCCCATAGTATAATGTCAAGACAGTACTCATCTCAAACCAGCTGACTACTGCGATCCTTGCAATGTGAGAACTGCACGTACATTACATGCGATGTTGGTATTAATATCTCACATCACCCAGACATAAAATATATCCATTTTTTGAATTCGATACAAAATACCCCACTTTGTGTTGTGATGTCATTCGGCGACAGCACTCTTTGAAGTGCCGAAAAGTACGGTACCTGGTGCAGCAGAAAAGCGTCCTTACTGTTTTTGAGGCAACTATATGTTTCAACAGTGGAGCCAAATGGAATACCCCCATGTTTTTCCAAAACCAACTGTTATGTCACAGACTAGGGCGGAAGTGACATCACAGTAGACCAGATGTGCTGGTCATCTGCCATGTGCACAATGGACCAGCCTGACTTAATGCAAAAAATTTGACTTTATTTCAGCTTTGTGGATCAAAGTACAGAAATATGCCAGTGCATCTTATCAAACAATTCAAAAGGCATAATCTTATGAGTGCAATATCACCATGTAAAACCATCAGCACTGTACTGACCATTTTGTTCTTCAGACCAAAGAAGGGACGGATCAGAAAAAGATTTTACAAAAAACACACCAGATCAACTTGCTGCCAGACAGCTGACTGTAAAAGGGGTCTATGAAACAGAAGAATGTGGACTTTTCACTAGAGCCATCCAGGGCCAGAAAGCCAGCTTAGTCAAGAGTCAGCCAGGCATGAAGAGGCAGTTACAGTAAAAAAAAAAAAAAAAAAAAGTGAAATGCAGTGGATTGAGTGTTCAGTCTTATTTTGGGAATCAAAATTTACACCACTGGTAGAGGCTGATTTCTGTTTCAGTGGGAGAAGGTTTATAATGGGTCCACTGAAATTCTGAAGGCAGCCATACACAATTTCCATCATTTAGCAAAAGACTTGCTGCCACAGAGTAACGCTCGAGTGATTTTTGGTATTTGGAATGGGCAGAAGAGCCCCGCCCCCTCAGCCCACGTGAGCAGCAAGGCTAAAAACGATTGGCTTTAAAGAGTCTGCTGATTTGCTGCTGGTCCCTGATTGCCCATCCCTGCCTTGCTGTCCTGGGGATTGGCTATTTCCGTTGGGTCCGTAGTAGGAAGGTGCGTATCTCCATGGGCTTCAATGTGACCTCCCAGGGTGAGGGGTCAGTCGGGGGTCGGGGCAGGGGCTGCTCACCTGGAACAGAAGACATGATCGCTAGCACTCCCAACATTGCTGCGAAGAGAGGGATGCGGGAAGATGCTTATCAACCTGGAAACTCACAGGTAACTATGGAGCAAAGCTGCCAGGTACCATACTGACATGATTGTGCACAGATTCATTTCTCTGGGGTACAACTGCAGTCTTTATGCTGGATAGGATACTAATCCATTGGGAGACACACACAGACACAAAACTGGAATAAACAAATATACAAAAGATACACCTGAGCAGGATCCAAACCCCTGATCAGCATTCATTTATGTTTGTGTAGTTTAAACACACACACACACACACACACACACACACACACACTCTCACTCTCACTCTCACTCTCACTCTCACTCTCACTCTCACTCTCGTACATTTTGATGAAAACATACTTCATTCACCAGCCTTCATTTGGGAAGAATAAAACGGCATCCTTTTCACCCGCATAACCATACAGGATGCTGGGATGCCAGCACTTCCATTGATGTGAAAGGATGATTAATGGTTAGGGTTTGCATTCAGATTCACCAATATTAAAATCATTCTTCGCAGTCAGCTATAAAGATGAGTAGGAATAACTCGCCTATGACAGCCCTCACCTCCTTGCAACAATCAAATGTTTAAAAATAAACTCTCTCATCTGATTCTCCAGGAAGAAATCAATGAGGTGACCTGACACTAATTAGCATGTGTTTTATTATGCTTCATTATTTTATCCTGGTGACAGATAATTCTTAGGCAAAACCTCCCATTTTGAGAAACCCCGAACAGAACCAGAACAGAGTACGGCCTTTAATCCCCAGTTATTTCACAGCTGTGTACCTGTGCTAGTCTTCCAGTCGAAGCGCGCCATGTCGTCTTTCCACTGATTGGCTGCTAGATTCATCTCGGACACGCCCACCACCTCCAGGGTTGAGAATAGCTTCTGTGGAACAGAAGTTAAACATGACTACCAAGTTCCAGCGGTCCCTTAATGGCATGTGGAATGTCGAGCTCCCCAGGCTTTACACGCATTCACCCCCAAGCCCCCACCTGCAGGTTTACGGTGACCGGCTGAGAATGTGTCTCGCTCTCCTTGGCCTCAAACTGATGCTCTAGTCTTAGCAGCACAGAGTCCTGGTCCCACTGGGACATTGTCAACAGATGGACAGCAGGGGGCAGTGCAGCTTGCA